GGCTGGGTCGGGCCTAGCCAAGCCGAGCCGAGCCGGGCCGCCTTGCCGGGAGCGCCGCGCGCCTGGCCGCGGGTGGGCGGGTCGCGGCCGCGGCGGGACGGCGCCGCAGGCTGTGCGCGGGAGCCGAGGCCTCCCCGGAGGGGCCGGTGGCTTTGCCCAGCCCAGGGCGCTCCGTGCGGGGCCCTCGGCTCCTGGCCTGCGTTTCACAGCCGCGACGGCTGCCGTGTGCCACAACTTCTTTCTCACATTTTGTTCTCAAATTCCTTACGCGTCTTGCTGCGTGATTCTGTTTTGTCGTGATTCCTGAGCTGCAGCAGCCTGGCTAGGCAGCCTTCCAGTTGCCAGCCAGCGAGCTGCAGTAAGGAGGTGATGCGTGAAGCTGCAGCAGGGTTTGGAGAGGAGAGGAAAGGGGAAAAATCAGAGGAGAGTCCAAGTCAGCGTCAGCAGTGAGCGATGTTCTCCTCAAAACTGAGCGAAGAAAACGGGGAGGCAGCTGAGAAGGACGTGCTGAAAGGGTGGTATCAAAGAGGGCTCTCCTTTGCTCCCTGAGACGTGCAGCATCTGCGTGAAGCGTCCTGGGGCAACTTTGTTTTCAGATCCGTTACTGCAAAGAATTGTTTGAGGTACCAGATTACACAGCGTCATGATGCCTTGTCTTCACTGATTTGCACTTTCTGTTTTTGCAGGCTGAGGTGGAAGAAACGCTGAAGCGAATTCAGAGCCAAAAGGGCGTGCAAGGAATAATTGTGGTTAATTCTGAAGGTATCACTCCAGCTGCGGCTTTCTACAGTGTGATTTATTCAGAGCAAACACTTGGTGCCTCTTGCATTTAGTTTAAATGTCTCTGCTTAGCAAACTTTTTCTGGTAGCCAGGGCAAACTGACAATAACTGGTCAACCCAACAGGAGCAAGTTGGGTTCTCTTTCCTGTCTTACTACCAGCTCATTTATATTGTTTTAAGAAATGAATTAGGCCCACCCTGGAAAGGCTTTTAAGTGTCTTGAGTTCTACCAGTGTGGAGTTTTGGTAGTCAGACTACCAAAGCCCTCATCGCTTTGAGATGTTTGCATTTTTATAGGTAGCACTAAAAGCCCTCTTGACATCTGGAGTCTTGCTGAGCTGAGTGTTGGCAGCACTGCTGTCTGGGCACAGAGAGGCGGCTTGGCAGCTGCATCGTGCTCGGGCCTCGTGGGGCTCTGAAACTTCCCTCTCTTTGAAGACCACGGATTCCAGCACAGTTTTCTGAGTGCTCCAGAGTCACTCTCAGTTCTGTGGGCACCCCTTCTTTCTAAAATGGCCTGCTTATCCTTTTGAATTGAGCATTTCTAGGAAACAATGATTTAAAAACATGCTAAGTAGGTTGCAATGGTATGACTATGTTGAAAGCTACATCCTTTATGTGCTTAGCTCACCTGTGCGTTGCAGCTTGTGTCACATAATGGTTTATAATGGTCATGTTCTCCAGGCTGACGGTCACGTATTTGAGCCTACACTTTTATCATTCTCTCAGTCGTGCCAGTATTTGGTGATTAGCTGCCTCGCTGCTGGACACAAGCTGGGCTTGGTGTGACTTCTGGGGCGGAAGGGCCCCTGTCGAGTGGCAGAAGGGAGGGAGGGCTCTGGCCAAACGGTGTCAGTGAAACTCCCCTCCTGGGCAGCACCCGGGAATTGGGGCAGGGAACCTGCTGGCGGCACTGACTGTCACAGCAGAACCTACGAGCCTCAGCTGTGGTGCAGCAGCTCCTGTCTGCTGTACTGGGCAGCGATCCCGGCCCAGGTTACCTGACTGTCATCTAACCGGGGCATTCGGGAGACTTTCTGAAAGGAGCAGTCAGAACAACAGAACCAGGGTACTGATATTCCCCGTCTACCCCAAAATTCCTGTTTTTATTTTCACTTATATATATTTTATGCATCTTGCAAATGAATAGCTGAGAGAGTGAGACACCGGTGCTACCAGATGCGAGTAATTCCATGCATTATTTCTGTTCCTATTCTTCTATTAATTTTTTTAAAAAGAGCACTTCTAATGCTATTCCCCAGGTGTTGCCATGATGTCTCCTTAGGTTAAGTGGCCACCACAGTTGCATGTGATAGTGAATTAGTCTGAGTGTTTCATCTCTAACTCCTGTTGTCCCCACGGTGATTTCTTGCAGGCATTCCTATCAAAAGCACCATGGACAACTCCACGACGATTCAGTATGCGGGCCTGATGCACAGCTTCATCACAAAGGCAAGGAGCACTGTGCGGGACATTGACCCCCAGAACGACCTCACATTCCTGCGGATCCGCTCCAAGAAAAATGAAATCATGGTTGCACCAGGTAAAAGTGAGTGATGTGAAGAGAGGCATCAAGAATGTGGTAGATTTTTTGCTTGTGGGATTTGTCGCCTTTGATAATTGCCTGTTTTTTCAGGCTGGCACAAAATCTGTGCCAAAAGAAATGAGTCTGCTAAAAGAAGTGGGTCTCCTGTGTTGCTTGCATTTATATTATGTATTCTACTTTTTCAAGGAGTTTGAGCTGTCTGCAGACAGCTGTTGTCTTCAGAGCTGAATCCTTTCATCATTGACCTAAGTTTGCTTCTTCATGTTCAAATGTGGAAACTCATTTCCCCACTATGATCAAAGTGGAAGACATTGAATAGCACTGGAGAGAGGGTTGCAGTCTTGTGTGTTTTGCAGCATAAAGGCAGAAAAATCAGAAATTAATGTTGTGAGAGCTGTTATGTGTCTCTAGGCAAAGTAGTGTAACGCAAAGTAGTCAAATTCTCAGATTGAGAAGGGCAACACAGCACATTCCAGCTGCACTAATGAGTCTTAAAATATTGCAGCAATAGCAGCAACAGCTTTCTCTTCAGGAAATGTCTTCTGTATTTCATCAAATTCTGAAATGGGGAGTTGATGGGATGAGTACAGTTCACTGATGTGCAAATACTTTGCTTTGTTCCTTTATACCATATCAGATTTGTGCCAGGATTGTGCTCATAGGGAGACAGGGGATGGAATTCCAGTCTCGGTAGACTGCTCCCCAGGGCAGATACTGAGAAGGACAAGCATTTTGGTTAGTGCTGATCTGCGTGTGAGAGATGAAAAGGGAGGAGTGAAGGTTGCTCAGGAACAAATGCAGCTGCAGCGGCGTCAGCCCAGCAGGCTGCCTGTGGGATACAGGGAATCACTGTCTTGCACCGCCTATTTTTGGTTCAATCATTTCATGGTCCAGCAATGACAGTGTCTATAGGCACAGACTGAGCTGTGTCTGATAAGTTTGGAAGCATGCAGTTTCATAGATTGTGAATCTTTCCTCAGTAAAACGCAGGTGATTTGATGTGTCAAAGTCATCTTACATGTCAAATCTCTTTTATTCATTGAAAGTGAAGGTGAGGGCTCTACAGTTTCTCAAGTGAGGTATGGAAAAATCTGAAATCTACTGTTGCTAAATACAGATGTGTTTTTCTTGGTAAATAATCATTGGCAATGAAAAAATAACACTTTTTTTTTTCCTTCTAGATAAAGACTACTTCCTGATTGTCATCCAGAATCCAACTGAATGATTACATTAACCTGGTCTCTTTTTTTTTTCCCTTTACCCAACTTTTTTAATTTAATAGCGAAGCGTAGAGCACTAGTATTGTCTCTCTTGTGCCACTTTGATAATGTCTGGGAGAACAAAAGCAGGGTTTTTGTTACTTACAAAGAGAAAGTGGCCTTTTTCCCCATGCCCCAATGTGTCATGGAAGTCATTTTGAGGGAGATTCTCTGAATTAGAATCAGGTGGTTTAGGCTCTTGAAAGCGTATCAGATACTTTTAATAGTTAATATAATATTCTAATAATGTAATAATGTTTGGAAAGAGATTATTCCTTCTGTGTTCCTTGTCACTCCTGTTATTGCTATTTGAGATACGCTTTTACACAATTGCTTTTGAATGACTGTAAACATGAAACTTGCCTGTCTTCATCTTCTCTCTTACTATGTTGGTTTTACAAGTGTTTTTTTTTTTGAAGAAGAAGAAGAAGAAGTCTGGCCATATCAAATTAAAAAGTGTCATCAGTGATTGCTTTTGCCTTTTGCCTTTTCCTTCTCATGTAAATACCTTAATGATTTTCTTTGACTGAGGGTTTTTTTTTTCTTTTCCTCAAAAAAAAAAGAAACTTCCCGGGGCAATTCTTGGCTACCAGTTGCTTTCTCTAATTCTCTAAACAGTTACTTATTCGAAGCGGGTATGCTATATACTTGTTATTTTCTGCCATGTTGAAGCATGTTTCCACCACTTTCCTTTCAGACAGAGAAATGTAGAGCTGTGTTTATGCCAGGCTAATGCCACTTTTACACTGCATCTCAAAGTTGATTCACATTTTAAAAAGAGGGAGAGGTGGTGAAGCTGAAGAACTTGGTTCCACTGGTATGTTTTTAGAAGCACCTGGGGTGCCTTTCAGTATTGTTTAGCCCACAGGAATGTTGACCAAGGTAAAGCTTTATTGCTGATCCTGTATCATGGGGAAACTGCTCTCTGGTGCTGGATTGATGTAGCTGGATCCTTTGTATTCTTTAAATCTTCTCTTGACCTGGGGTTTTGGATCTGAAATCCAGAAGATCCAAGGAATTGCATCAGTGGCATCAGAAGGAAAGGGAAGTGTTAGCATGTGTACGATTTTTCAGGAAGATGAGGCAGGAGGGAGAATAATATAAATCACTGGGTGTACTCTGCTGTATTAGCAGTAGAACAATATAAATCACTGGGTGTACTCTGCTGTATTAGCAGTAAAGTTTCCTTAATGCATGTCCCATTTATATAAATAAAATACTAGGTTGGAGAGCTCCAGAGCTTCCATGATTCAGTATCCTTTTTTCCCCATCTGTGAATAGTGCTCTGTGGAGTTAGGGCTCTAGTCCTGCAGCCCAATCTACCTCTACAGGATTGGGGAATTAAACCACTACATTAATAGAGTTCCTCATGCCTTTCATGCTGTATCTGTACCACATAATAGTAATAAAATATCTTTTGTCTGAGCATGCAGCGTGCAGTTAATCAGCCTGCCAGATCAAATTCAACTCTACTTCACTTTTCTGTTTAAAGGGGCCTGTAGTGGAAAGAAATTTGAACCAACATTTTGTTATGATGAACTTGCACTTTAGTTATAAAGGTGAATCTGAAGAGTTTACATTTGCTTTTCAGTAAGCAAATTGTCTTAAGTAAGGCAACTTACTTCCTTTTCAGCTAAATCTACAAGGGGAAAAAAAGGTTTGGGAATCTACTTTTTCTTTCTTTTGAATTGTGATGCTTGTAATAATTGGAACAGTCTTTTAATAGATGCAAACTTTGGTGTCTGCCTTTACCCAAGGTGTACTTCTTCATTAACATTTTGTGATCACCCAGGTTTCATACAGATTGACTGTAAACACCAAGTTTGCCTCAACAATACAGCTTTTGTCAGAGCATACATCTCAAAGGAACATCAAACACTGTTCTTTGGGCAACCTTGTCATTCTGTTGGTTTTGATGTATTTACAGTAGCTCTAGAAATAGCCTGTCCTAGTTGTACTCGTGTAGCGGGCATTAAATGATGCGGCGTCCAAGTGACGGGCACGGTGCCGAAGTGCATAGGCCGCGCTTAGGTGCATAGGCCACGCTTAGGTGCATAGGCTGCGCTTAGGTGCATAGGCCACGCTTAGGTGCGCCAGGGTTGCCCCGTGTCCTGCAGATGCCCCCTCACGTCCACAGGGCGGGTTCCTGGGTGGGCTGGTGTCCCACAGTGGGACCTGTCCCTGCCCCACCAGCCTCAGGGCTGCAGCAGGGAGGTGCAGAAGAATGGGATGGGACGTCCTGGCGGGAGATGAGATCGTGGGCAGGGGCTGGGTGGCTGAGGCCGCTTGACAGCTGCGCCAAGTCCCGGGATTAAAGCGTTAAAGCCTCGCGTTAAAGCGGGCGCGGAGACCCACGGCAGACGGCCCTGCTGCCCGCCCCTCCATCTTCCTCACCCACGGGGAGAGCAGCGGCGGGGAACAAGGCGCCCTCCCCGCGCCGCCATCTCCCGCCCCGGCCGCCATCTTCCCTCCCCCGGCGCCTCCCCCTCGAGGGCTGTCGCGGTGACGCCACGGGCGGGCTGCGGTGCCGCTGGAGCGCAGGCCGCGCCACCCGCCGCCGCCGCCGCCGCCGCCATGCCCTCGGACCGGCCCTTCAAGCAGCGCCGCGCCTTCGGTGAGCCGCGCCGGGCCCGGCGCCCCCATCCCTCCATGCCGCCCTCCATCCCCCGCGTCGGGAGCCGGGCCCGCCGCACAGCCGCGCGGTGACGTCATCGGGCGGGGGGGGGGGGGGTTGTTTTTAACGGCCGCCGGTTGTTTTAACGGCCGCGCGTTTTAACGGCCCTCGGGTGTTTTTAACCGAGGGGGAGGTGGGGGGTTGTGCTGCCGTGACCTGCCCGCTCGCGGCGGCTGCAGCGCGGGGCGAGGCGTGACCGGGGAGACGCTTCCCCATTAACCCCCGTATTTATTAATTAGTCCATAGTGGGAACTGTAGCTGCCACTACAGACCCTGCCACAGTAGGGTCAGAATTTGTAATCTCTGCTTGGAGAGCTATCGGCCTCCTCTGAGACTTCTTTGTGTCCCTGTGAGAAGTGGGTGACCAGCCACCCTGCTAGGAAGGGCTTTGATGGCGATAGAACAAGAGGAGTCAAAAACTAAGTGTTGTTGTTGCACCTTTGGCCTGGGTGCTGCCTTTTGCCTGGCAGAAGGCGTCATTCTCTTTACCCTTCCCTGCCCAGGTAGCAATCGAGTAGCTATTGTTTGAGGACTGAATTTATCTCCTCAGATTTTCTCTAGAATCAGATTTACTGCTGAGACAGTGCCCATTACTGTGTCGAAATGTATGTGGTGGGGAAACTCGGATGAAAAAAAGGTTTCCATAACTGGCACTGGGCTTGATAGTGAAATCAGATGAACGTGGACTTCTGTTTCCCTTGACCTTTTCCATGAGCTGGTTGGGGAACATGCCTGTTTCTGAGGCAGGCATTTCTGAGCTTCACTGCCTGAGCAACGCTGCAGGCAGTGTCTTCAGGCCAGGCGAGGCCTTCTTCTGTGCCAGATACTGTCCTAGCAAAGGTGAGGGATTTTCCTATGTACATTTTTAAATTAGAGGTTTTCCTACTGGACTGTGGGTCCAACCTTTTGCGGCTCTCTTGGAAACTGTAAATATTTGGTAATTGGTTATCACAGCCCTTCTGGCCTTAAATGCTTACCCAGCCTTCCCGTGCTGCAGCAGCAGATCCGAGCAAATATGCTCAAACAAGAATAAAATGAACTCTGGGTACCCTGGGATATGAGTTCAAGTTGTGTGCTAAAAGCCAATAACCCTCTAAATTAAACCCTTAGTAGTTACTTACTCTTAAACTGGTGAGAACCAGCTGCTTATGGACAGGGCTTGGTTTCCCTTTGCAAATTGCTCAGCTTTTTCTACCAGCCAAATGGAAAATAAAATCCAAGAAGGCTCCGAGCAGGATTAAAATAGCCCAGGAGGGACAGGCTGTGGGGGTGAGGGAGTCTGGCGCTGGCAACTGCAAACGCTCCTTGTTCCTGTGCACTTTCCTCTGCCCTTTGGCTCTCTCAGCTGCCCAGTTTGCAGAGCTCTCCCAGGAGGAGGAGGAGGAGGAGGTGGCCTGGCAGCCTACGCAGCTGCTCGGGGTTGGGGCTGGAGCTGCTCAGCTGCAGAAAGAAAATACGTCTTGTTTTCGTCTTCGCACCGTTGCACAACTGGAGCAGGAAGTGGCTGTTTACAGTGCCATAGGAGAGGGCCGGTGGGAAACGCCTCCCGCTCTACTCTTTGAAGGGCTGGATTTTAAGGCGTCAGAACGACAGAAGTGGAACAGTTCCAAGAAAACAGAGAAAAGGCAGAGTCAGGAGTGCGACTGTTTACAAAAGCTGCCCGGGCTGCATTTGCAAAGCAAATGGCTTTCTTGGTCTTGTTCTGCCGCCCACTGCCAAAGACTGCACTTTCCTCAAAGTGTGTTCTTCCCTTTCTTGTATTTTTGAGGCTGAGATTTACTTTCTCATGATTTTTTTTTTCTACTCATTCCTGTGCTTGGTCTTAGGTCTATTCTGATTAAGCTTCCATCATTTGTATTTCTGGCAGCATTGGAAAAGAGCCCTCAGAGTTTCCTAGGCTGTCCTGAGGGAGCTAAGGGCGGGGAGCGCCGGCTCCTCCTGGATCCGCAGCACCCGGGAGGTTGCGCTAGCTGGCCGAGCCTGCGGCACAACCTCCTTGATGTTGATGCATGAAGGAGAGCCCTGACAGCAGCCTTGTGCTTTCACATGCTTTCACGTGATAAACCCGACCGTGTGCTGGGATCCGTTGCAGGAGTCCAGAACAATTCTTAGAACTAAATTGCGGTGCCTGTTGGAGGAACAAGGTGTTCCAAGCGCAGTGGGAGTTGCTGGGCCACATCCTCACACTTCCTGTAGAGAGTGTGATTCCTTCAAAGCATTGGGGACTGATTGTGCCTCCCACTGTTCTTGGAGATACTTCTTTGAGCTGACTGATTGACTGTCCGAGGCTGCCCAGCACTGCAAGCTTTGTTTGCATTGCAGTACGTGACATCAGCAACACGGGCCTTAACCCTCGCAGACCAACGACTGGCGGCAAGTCACAATTCGCTGGCCGTGTGCCACAGTCTCCTGCTGAAATGGAGGCATCGCAGTAATGCACATACAAGTATGTCCACAGTTAGTCAGCGGCAGCCCCTGGATAGTTCATAAAGAGATGTTTCACCTTGGCCTTTCCAAACCGAGTATTCCCACAACAGGTTCGCTTCTCTGGGATATTTATTTCTGGGAAGCCAATTTCCTTCAGAGAAAAAGCAGCAATAGGTAAAGACAGTGCCTATAGCTGAATTCCCTCTCTTGGCTTGGGGGAAAAAAGGAAATCCAGGCAAGTCTAACTAGTCTAAGTGAGCCGTGCTTGTATCAATTAAAGACCCCCAGCGAATGAATTGTCTCTCTTAGGAGTAATCATGTGCTGCTTAAAACAGATTTGGCTTGATGGTAGTTTGGAAAAACAACTTGATCTGAGCATAGTTAATGGGTCAGCTTGTCCTCATAGTGTGCTATTCACATTCCTGGTGTAGCAACTGGGATTCCTTGAAATGAGGCTTACAGTTGTAATCTGATGCATCTATATCTAGTTGTATTAATTACTGAGGACATCCTGTGACATGATTTAGTATAAGGTTGATTAACAGTGTTCAGGAAAATAGTGCTACAGGAGGAACTAACCAAATGTCTAAAATACGAGTGAGATAGGTAGACCACAAATAGTGCTTTATTTGATAACAAGTGTCTTACTGGCTGCCAGGAATAATAAGGCAAGTTATTATTATTATTATTACTTAAGTTTTTATGAAAACCTTGAAAACCACCTTGAACCATAAAGGAGAACCCTATGGACCTAGGAGCGGTCCCACTGGTACCCTTCCTGCCACTGAATAACTGCAAGATAAGTCATTACCCTTGACTTCTTTATTCCTTCCACTGTTAAGCGCAGTGGGGAGCTCTAGCAGGTGAGTCAGAGATCTCCCTCTCTGATACCCTCTTTGTGTCACCTCCACTGTGTGGAAGCAGAGGCTGTGGAATCATTCAATGCCTTTAGTTTAGAAAGCAGACTGGAAATAAACTGCAAGAGAAAATGGAAGAATTACATCAAGCACAGGAATATTAATTTATCTCCCCAGATAGGCCCTGTAAATCTGTGCATGTCCAGGCATGTTTGCCTACAAATAGCAATGCCTGCATTGACCTGAACTGTGCGAAGTCTGGTGTTGTAATGGTGTATGTGAGTTCTTCTGCATTAAAATAGATTTCTTTCAGGAATGGTGATTCTTTGGTCAATTTGAAGTAGCCTGAGTAGTTCTGAGAAATTGGAGAGCGTTTCTGCTGTCTTGGAGGGTTACAGTGGTGAAGGTTGTCAAGATCAAAGGAGCGAGAAAATGTCAAATGAGAACTAGAGGGAAGCCCTTCCAGGAGACTAACTTCTCCATGTGAAAAGGGAACTTGCTGTTCTTTTTCCAAGTTAAAAAAAATCAAAAACCAGTCCTTTATCTGGAACACTAAGGTAAATACTTTGCACTTACTAGTGCAAGTACAGAATCCAAATATGGTGTGGAAGGCATTGCCTGCTTGCCAGTGTGCGCGGAGAGAAGCTCTCAACACACCACCTTCTCATTCTCTGTTTCTTGTGCCTTTCCTGGGGTGCCTGTTCCTGGAAGCAGAGGTGTTACCTGCCGTTCTTACTGGCTTTCCAAGGTGTTTTTGTACCAAGGGTGTCTTGGAACTTGGGGAGAGGAAACAAGATTTGCTTTAACTTGATGTTTTGTCAGGAGAAAACATCTGGTTTGATTTAACAAGGTTGTGGTTTCTTGGCTTGTCTGATTGCGCCACACCTATCCCGTCCTTAACATCTGGGCTAGTATTCCAGCCCCTTTCAGTTTAGCAGAGTCTGTTTTCACAGCTAGCACTGTCCCCTAGCAACCTGCTCCCGCTCTTCTGAACCCTGGACAACAACTTTAGGTGGAATCTGTGAGCATCTTAGCCTGGTCCTCAGCGATTGGTAAGGAGCCTAGGCATCATGCCCCGTTAAATCTCAAAATGGTTAGGAAATGCTGGGGTGGTTTGTGTTTTCCTTCCAAATCCACTTCCACGCTCTGCTCTGAAGCCACAAGATTGGGAACGTAGAGCAATGAGTATGATTGCTGAGATCCCTCTGTATTCATGTGTTCCAGGACCTGGACATTCAGAAATCCTTCCCACCATTGCAGGTCTTGTGGTAGCATTGTAGCTATAAGATAGATATTCACCCAGGCAGACTTTCCTTTGTCCTAAATCCATGCTGGTAAAACCTTCCTGGGACAGCAGAGTATCAGGCTGTTTGCACAGCAGCTATTGGACACGCTATCTGTCGGACAGCAAACTGAAAACAACGTACTTTGTGTCGTGGTTCCTTCTGCCTGACACAACACCCTTGCTTGGAGCCCTGCAGCTCTAGGCGTTGAGGACAGGAGCAGCAATACTGCAGCACTGCCTGGGATCACCAGCGTGGTTCCTCTGACGCTGCTGTCCCACACAGGCCAAGACTGTGGCCTTTCCCAGCCCCAAGGGCTGCTTTCGCAGGGCAAGTCAAGCCTGGCCAGCTCTGTCCTCTTTTCTTGCTCACAGGAGTCTCCTCCTGCGCCTTCTGCAGAGCTAAAGGTGTCAGAAGAAGTTGTCGGCACTGGGCAGGGACAGGTCGTATCAACTGCGGTTGATCTGTGGCACATAAACAGGCTCTGTTTCCTGGTACTTAGAGGTGTCTGCCCTTAGCCAGGGTGCGGTGCTGCTACATAAATATTTATTAACATTTGCCTGCGATGACCTGCATGACTTGCCCTTGGCTTCAGTGTTTACCAGCAGAGGCTCGTCCCAGACATTTTTTGATTTAAAACTATTTCAGTCTTCCTGGCCTTGCAAAAAAACTTTCAGAAAGAGGGTTGTGCTTCAGTGCTCCTCCCTGGTACTGACCACAGCATCCTGTTGAAGAAATACATTGATTTCTTTTCTTTTTCTTTTGCATCTGCTCCAGACCTGAGGCAGCAGTTACAGCCCCCCTGTCCTGCCTTGCTTGCTGATCATGCCACCCAAACAGGGTTTTCTTGTCGGAAGTTGTGGTCTCTGTGTTGATCACAGAGAGCAGGGCTGGTCACCTAGCCCATGTGCCACACTGGGCAATGCCAGTGCCAGACCCCTGCTTGTCTACAGTTCCCTGAAAGCCGCCCCTAATGCAACCGCGCTGTCAGTGACTTTACCGTGTGTTTTCCTTATGTTCTACCATCTGTGTCTTGTGCTGGACGAGCCACTTCCAAACAGGGCTGTCCTTCCTGCTGTCTGTATGTTGTCCAATGCATCAGAGGGCTGTGCCCCGTAGCCGAGGCTCCTGGGTGCCTCTAGCACAAATGGTTAATGCAGCAAAAATCTAGCTTAACGTTTTCCACTGTTCTCATGAACTTTCGTAAAGATCTCATGCTTTCTTGCAGTGAGGTATGTGGTGTGCCCACCTATCCCAATTTTAAACTATCCAAGCCTTCCTCTTCTTGCAAAAAATCTTCAAGAAAGGGGATCATGCTTCAGTTGGGAGAGCAGCTTTACAGTGATTTTGGACAAGCCAGCAGTGGATTCCTCTGTGCAATTTGGAAGCTTTGCTGTTGGTGCTTAGCAGTTGAAGCAGCAGTTGGAGGACAAACAGGCAATTTTCCTGGCTTATGCAATACTCCAAAAACATTTCTGTCTCTCAAAAGGCCTTAACTGTGAAGCTTTGCCAGGCAGAGCCAGTAAAACATGTGCGTGTTCTTGTTGCTACCCTGAACTCTTGCATGCTGGCGCGGTGGTGTCTGCTGATCTCTCACGTGGGTAGAGATGGGGCTTTGCCTGCTCTGTGGGGGTGAGCCCTTCAGTCTTTGCTCAGCTCTTTCAAGGCAGCGCTTGCAGCTGTGTCACGGCAGCAGGTGCCTGTGCCGCTGTGCCTCGCTCCCCCTGTGCTGCCTGGCGCCTCGGTCCGCTGCTGCTCGGAGCCCCCGAGCTGCTGTATCAAGGGGTGCCACTTGACTGGGGAGGAAGGGCCAGCAGGAACGCACAGCTGCGGCCTGGGCTGGAGAACGGCTTGGCTTCGCTTCGCATATGGGGCAGGGATAAAGTGGAGCTGGACCCGCAGCCAGGGGAAAGTGCTACCTAGGGAGCACAGCTGCAGTGCTAGGAGAGCTGCAGGGCAGGATGGAGCCCGTAAAGCGGCCGCAGGAAAACTGCCTGCTGCGCCCCTGCTGGCACCACCCTGGCTGCTAGGCCCGCCTTTGCAGTCTGTGTCTCTCAACTGCCTCTAGCGGCAGTGTGCGTCCCCCTCCAAGTCCTCACCCTGTCCTTTCTTGCTGCACCTTCTTGTCATTCCTATGATATACCTGGAGTTTACTTAGCCTAATATACATTAGGCTAAAAATTGTATTTATAGGTATTCCTTGCTGCCTGGTGTTAAGGATTCTTTGCTGATACGTAGAGGATCAATATCTACCGCAGGCTGAGGAGGGGATGGGTAACGGGCAGCTCTAGCTTCTAAACTGGTGTGCAAATGTAGGCGTGCGCTGTGCGAGGCTGGCTGTGATGCGCCCTCAGGGCACTTGAGAGCAGGGTTGTCTCTTTGCATCCACAGGCCTAGCTTAACAAGACCAAATGGGCAGAGCTAGAGATGTCCTGGAGACTTCTGTCTAACCCTTCCGGTGCCTGAGCAGCTTAGGTAGGGCTGCCCTGACCTGCTTTCCTGAATGAAGATTTGGAGACACGTTCCCCCAGGCAAAGGAGGAAGCAAAGTGCCTTAGGCGCCTGCTGCAGCAGTGGCACTTACCTGTTAAGGGATCCAGCAGCCTCTGGAGCAAAGAAGCACTCTGGTTACCTGCTGATGAACCGTGTCAGCCAGGAGGCTCCCAAGGCCCTGGCCTATCCAATTGGAAAGGTCTTGTCTTCACAATGCTGCATGTGGACAGGGAGACAGGAGAGCTGCAGACACAGTGCAACAGATGTGAGACTAGGGAGGGCTTAGAGCTCGTGCCCTGGGTTCCTTCTGAGCAATTAGTCAGCAATTGCTGACACCTTGAAGGAATGTGCGTAGCAGCAGCCTGACCTGTCTCAGACTGAGACACATGCAACCCCAGCCTGTGGGGGAATAAAACTCTGCTACTTTAGAGGTGGGATCCTGAGGCACTGACATATAGCGAGTACCTAATCCTCCTGCTCAGCCCTGTTCTTATGTAGCTGCTGCCTCCCCTTTCCCTTTGCTGTTAGGCTTAAACCAGGATTTCTATTCTGTGCTTGAACTCCATATGCAAGAGAAGGTACCTGGTGCCCAGATCTTGGGCCGCACCCATGATCATGAGCTGCGTTTGTTTAACACAAGCAATTTTATTTTTTGCTTTAGGAGGGTTTCTTTTTTTCTTTTTCTTTCTGATTTTGGAGTAGAACTTAGTAATTGCTGAGGGCTTACTTAAGTCACTTGGCTTCTCTGCGTGTTGATCTGTCTTACTAAGGCAGGGTGATGTTTCCTCACCATAATTGGTGACCAGGATAGTTGGAAGCCATGAAGGGTTGATGACTGAACCTGAGATTTGGCAGAAAACCTTTGAAGAGAATTTGCATTTCCCTCTTGTCTGCGTGGGGCTTGCAGGGTGGTTGCTTTTTTTGACTGAGCTAGTGCAGTCAGATGTTTCTAACTTTTTTTTCTTCATTTTCTTCCTTCCAGCGGATCGTTGTAAAGAAGTGCAGCAAATCAGAGAGCAGCATCCAAACAAAATCCCAGTAAGTGCCTGTACTTGCTCTTCTGCATTTGACTCCATTCTCTTGGCTGCTCTATGCTATTGGCATTAGACTGGTTCTTCATTTCTCCAGAGTTGTGGCAGAATTAATTACAGGGCCTTAAAGTGCTAGGAAGGAGAGAGGCTAGAGAGGGACTGTACACAGCTGTATAGATGCATGCATATGTGAAGTGCCTGTCCACAAACACATGTTGTCTGGGAAAAGAAAACAGAAAGAGCCAGAGCTCTGCATCCAGGTGCAGGATTTAACCAGCAGCACTGAGGCCCTGGGAGAGCTTCCATAGCTGGAGGGCTCTTCATCTGTGTTGAGATCAAACACCCCATGCCCCAGGGGAGAGCCTTGGTCACCTGTGTGGTTGTTTGGGAGCCTTGTGTACAGGAGCAGTTAGCCCTGGAAGGGATCTCAGCCCTCCCACGCCCTCTCTAATGACCTCTTTATCCTGCACTTTAGCATCCTTAGCAGTGAGGAAATCCTTTGGGTTTCCTGCTGCTGTGGATTGGATAGGTGCCTCCCTGTATCCGCAGGTCTGCTGCTTGGCATTTATTTGTACAAGGGAAATGGGCGCTAGAGAAGGCTCTACCTCTGTGTGATTGTGAGATGAGGGAAGAGCAAGTTATTTTTGAAGTCTAAGCTGACTGGAGATGTGTTTAGTCACAAGCTTCTTGAAACAACAGAAGTAATTGGGAAGAGAGAAGGAAAAGTGCTTTGGGTGGTCCAGCTGTGTGTGTGCGCCTGGTGCCTCATGATTTAGTGACTGACAGAGGTTTGGTCCCATTCATTGCCACATACACAGCCTGTAAGTCACCGGGCTTAGCTGCCGGTGCTAGGGCTGTGAGTAAAGCCACACACTGTGAATGCTGTGATTCAGAGCAGTGCAGGTGAATAAAGTGCAGGACCGTCTTGGGCTTTTGTGGAAAAACAGGAACTGATTTTGGTGAAGTGCCTGGAGAGGCCCCTGGAATGAGCAAAGGGGGTTGAACCCCAGGCCAGGGTGAGTCTGGGTGGGAAGAGGCAGGTCCAGAGCTTCCCCCAGACACGCATGTCCCCCATGTTTGGGAACCGTCTGCAACTCAGGGACAGCCCCTCCGGGTGGCTGTCTGAGCCCCTGCCAGCTGCTCACTGCTCACGTTGCAGCATGCTGACACAAGTGTTTGATCGGCCTACATGGAGACAGAGTCTGCGACCTCTGCCCAGGTGGCAGTGCCTTTATCTCTTATGCTTCCCGTTCTGCAGCAGGCACACTCCTTTCCGGCTCACCCTCTCCATGTTGGCTAGCTCTTGTTCAGGTGTTTAGAGCTTAGGGCATGAGAAAGAGTCTTGTTTGAGCTGCATGAGACTCCACAGAGCTGGAGTTCACCAGGGCTTACAGCAACGGTTGTGTCTGAGGGTCAGTTTGGTGGACTCTGTACTCTTGAATTGCCCTACGGCCCCAGTGAGGGGGCTCTTTCACATGGAGGCTGTGACAAAGCTGCATAACCAGCCAAGGGACCTCTTGGTGCTGTATCCTGGGGAGTGCTGCTGCTGCTTGAGCTAAGCACTGTGTCGCACTCTTCCCTCTGCTGGCTTCTTGTGCTGGTAAGGTCAGTGTTGCAGCTGTCTATCAGATGGACTTCACCCTGCTGCAGGGTAGTATCTTTGGAGAAGCCTCTCTTAGGGGAAGGAACGAGCCCTGCGGTGGGCTCAGTGAATGGGCACGAAGGCTGTTGTGCCTAGGTCTCAGCCTGTTGCACTGGGAGGCAGCTGGTTTCCTGTGTTCTGGGAATGGGCGATTCCTTCTCGCTCCATGTTGCTTCTGCTTGCATTTGGCATCCCTCCCACAGCCACAGCAGGGGTTAGAGACCAGTGAGGGAAAGGTCTAGGCAGCTGCCAGATGCAAGGAGAATCTGGATGCTCCTCATCACGCTGCTCCCCAGCAGCTGTTAGGGATGAGTCGCGTGTGTGTAGGCAAGAGGCCTTCCTGTAGCCCCAACAGTCAAGTTTCTTGAGGATCACTCGTGTCTCGTGTGCTGTGTTCCTCCACCATGCCTTCCTGCAGGGACCCCACATCTTGCAGTTGCTACTTTTATCAGTGATCAGGGAGCTGGATGTTGCTGGTAGAGGCTGGTGTATCATGAAATGATCAAGGAGGAGGCAAACTGAGCAATGCTCACATAGATGAGCCTGTTCCCTTTGGTGCCACCAAGCTGCCACCTTGGGAACTGGATGTGAAGTAGTCTCCCTTATTTCTTGGAAAATTGCTGTGAAAAATGATTTATGGAATCTTCCTGCCTTACAAACAAAAAATATTCTGGCTGAATTTTGAGAGGATGGTGAACTGATGAGTATATAGGAATCTTTCTGGGGAGAAACCCATTAGGTACTAAAGAGATGAGGGAGTGGGAAGTGTCACTGCAATGAGAATGGGTTGAGCTCTCTGCAACAAAGCTGTTGCCCCTACTCTGCGCACATCCCTTTTCCATTTCTCTACCAGACGGAAGCTGGGGGAATCTTACCTCTGCTTTTCCATTGTGTTACTTTGGTTTTTGAATGTCTTTGGGGACTCAAAGGCTGCACACTGAAGCTGACCTTACCCTTGTCTTTCTGTACAGGTCATCATTGAACGCTACAAAGGCGAGAAGCAGCTGCCGGTGCTGGACAAGACCAAGTTTCTTGTCCCAGACCATGTCAACATGAGTGAATTGGTCAAAATAATCCGGTGAGTGGGACCACTAGGACTGGTATCTTCTGAACCCACCTTCACCCACAAGTCCTGAGCATGGCAGGAGTGGTAGGGAGAAGATGAACCTAGAGACAGCTACTGAGGGTGGGGACTGATGACAGGACACTTGCAGCATCCTTTTGTTGGGGCACAGAAGAGTAATGTGTGAGCCCCACACTGCAGCTTCTGGTGAAGGGCGGTGGCCTCTGCTTCATTTGACTGCTCTGTGAGCAGGACTCCAATCCTCCCAGTGTGTCCTGCAATTGAGATGAGACCCCTCTGCTCTAGGCAGCAGCGCTGGGTGAAATATGGATTGCAGAGCCCCAGCTCAGGAGCCACTGGAACCCAGAACAGCTGAGTGGGTGAGAAGCACCATGTCCTGGCCAGGTGGGAGAAGGTCCTGGCCCTTCATGAATGGGATTGAAGGGGGGACAGTCAAGACTTGAAGTGACGGCACCTGATTCAGACCTTCCTGTTCTTGTCCCCACAGGCGTCGCTTGCAGCTGAATCCCACCCAGGCTTTCTTCCTGCTGGTAAACCAGCACAGCATGGTGAGCGTGTCTACCCCCATCTCGGAGATCTACGAGCAGGAGAAGGATGAGGATGGCTTCCTCTACATGGTCTATGCCTCCCAGGAGACCTTTGGCTACTGAGCCCTTGGGAGAGGTGGCGTGTGGAGATGAACGAACTGTGGTGCACAAGCCCCCAGCTTTGGAAGATCATTCAACCAGAGGCTTGCAAGAGGGGGCTGCGTTTGCTCCTTTCATCCTTCCTGGTCACCAAAAAGGCTCATGGTGTGTGTTGGACTTGCACAACCCTTTGCCTCTCTGTGTAGCTTAGTCTCATTCCTTCCTCAACCCCTACATGCGCATTTATGTCCACACATCCCCACGCACACACCAGGCCTCCATGTCCCGTCCCGTCCCCTCAGTGTCCCCCTGGGCTGCTCTCCGTGCGTTGTGTGTGTGTTCGTGTGCGTATTTCTAGCCTGCTGCCCAAACAGAGCGGCTGCTGATGGGGAGAGGAGAGGGCTTCACCCTGGCTTCTGCCACAGGGAGAGCTGCCTCCTTCTCCAAGAAGACACTAACAAAAGGCAGGAGGTCTGCAAAAACAAATGTTGTTATTGCTCCTGAGTTTTAATTGATTTTAATTATGCGCGTATCAGAATTTTGGTGCTACTGAGTAGATGTAGGCGTCTTTATAGGACTGTGGATAATGTATATCCTTTAGATTTTTTTTTCTTGAGAGATGGATTGGAAGGGGGAGATGGGATAATCTTTCTTGTATTCTGTAGCTAAGACAGGCTTTGTTGCACTTTAAAGCATAGTAGATGTGAGAGTGGAATTTACTTTTAATTTATACATGTTTGCCATATATAGTGCTGCTCCTCTGTTGACAGCTGTACCTAGATTGTTTTTTTTTCTTTTGTTAATAAAATTGACTTCCTCTCTCTGTCTCCCCATTGCATGCAATTCTTTCCTCTCAATGTGGCAAAGAGACAGTTCACTCACGGATGTACTGATTTATATTTGCTACAGTCCCCTTCCTATTTTTCATGTGTTATACCCCCAAAAATTTATATGATAAAAATTCCACCCAGTTTAATCTATACAAATGTGTATATATAAATATATATATATATATAAATAAACATGAATTCAAGTTGACTCTTGTAGGAATATTCTGTTCCCTTCTCATTTGTCTGTGTTGATGTTCCGAGTGCGTGTTGGCTGGTGCGTTGTGTGCCCAGGGCTCGGCTGGGGTTAATCCAGGCTGAAAGGAGCTGGATGCCATTTAGGGTGTAAACGTGATGTAAGAGAACAGAGCAGTTTGAGTGCAGCTCTGGGCTCCCCTGTGTAGGAGGGACATGGAGCTTCTAGAGAGGGTCCAGTGGAGAGTGACAAAGACGATCAAGGGGCTGGAACATCTCTTGTATGAGGAGAGACTGAGTGAGTTGGGCCTGTTTAGCTTGGAGAAGAGAAGGCTGAGAGGGGATATGATTAACATGCATAAGTTCATGAAGGAGGAATGTAGGAAGGAAGGGGCCAAGCTCTTCTCCGTGGTGGCCAGTGACAGGACCAGGGCAAATGGGTGCCACCTGCAGCACAGGCAGTTCCATCTCCATGTGAGGAAGAACTTCTTCACTGTGAGGGTGCCAGAGCCCTGGCACAGGCTGCCCAGGGAGGTTGTGGAGTCTCCTACTCTGGAGGTCTTCACAACCTGCCTGGATGCCACCCTGTGCCACGTGCTCTGGGTGTCCCTGCTTGAGCAGGAAGGTTGCACTAGATGATCTCTAGAGGTCCCTTCCAAGCTTGAATATTCTGTGATTCTGTGAGCACCGGATGGTGATTTGGGCAACCTGGTTGTCCTTGACCTATGGTGGGTCTCTTGTCTTGTAACCGATTATTCCTTTGTAAAAATACAGACCCAGTAAGCAAAGATGCACCCATGGAATTGAGCATGGCGATTCTAGAGGGCACTTCAGTGCCTCTCTGTGCCTTTCCGCTTACTTACTGGTATGTACGTCGCCATGCCTGCTGGTTACTCTTTAGCCCAAGTGTATTGGGGATAGCACTATGTGTGACAGAGCTGGCTCAATCTGCACATTGCCAGGACTGTGATGGTCTTTTAAGACAAATCTGAACGCTACAAGCTCCTGGATATGATGCTTGACCACTCAGTATCCCCAGCTGTGACAACTGAACGTGCAAGGGGACCAAAAGGCACACGTGAAGGTCTTGAGTAGAAAATATAAATAAATAAATGAAGCTCTCTGGGGCACAGAGTTGAAGTGACAGCTCGAGGGAGGACAGCACTGGGAAGCACGTGGAGGGTTTGGGATGGCACTGAAGGGACCAGGTTCCCTGGGTCTGGCCATTTCCCAGGTGGGATAAGGTTGGTCCTCAGTTACTGCAAACACTTCCCTGTCCCTGACACCCCAGCAGCTGCAGCGGCCTCATGCCCCTGCTCAGCCAGGACACGTCTGCAGTGGGACTTGTCATCTGCATTGCACCACAACCCTGCTGCGGAGCTCTTTGGATCGGTGAAGACTTGTATGACAGCAGCTGCAACAGGCCACAAGGTTGATGCTGTGTTGAGTTTGCAGAGGGCATTTGACTGCTTGCCATGAAAATACTTCACGTGCAGAGCGGTCTTCACGCCACAGGCACCCTGGCATAGAGAGTGGAGCTGAGCTCAGCAATGCAAAGGTGAGGGTGAGTGGTGAGAGTCCCCTCTGCTTCCCTGATGCCTCCTTAATAGCCTGAGCTTTCCCTGTTCACTTGAAAAAAGCATGTTGTAGCTGTCAGAAGGGAAGCTCCTGCTCCTCTGCCTTGACACTTGGGTGTAAGGCCTTGTCACACTCTTGGAGAAGCAGCTGGTGACTCTTTGTGATGAGCTGGAAGTCACAAGAGCAGCAAAAGAAAAGCAGGAGTTGAGAGCAGCTCACAGAAGTAATCTCTTTATTCTCTACCGAGGGAAGCTCCCTGGGGGTTTCCAGCAATGGGGCATGAGGTGGGTGCTAAGAGGTAGTACAGGGGATTTGATTGCCCTACTGTGGGCTCTCAGCATCTCGCTCAGAGCCTCGGAGGATGGATGGGAAGAGAGGAGGTGACAGTTCCTCTGAAAACTGCGCCTCCTCTGAAGGCATGACCATTCCAGGGATGGTGATAGGTGGGAGCTTTGTGCCATGTTGACGTTTACGTAGCTTTTTAGCAGGGATTTTCTTTTCTTCCAGGTTTAGAAAGCCCTGGCCTAGAGAGCTCTCCTCCCCATTTCTTGGTCTGGACTGTGTTGTGACCCGTCTTCCACAACTTACTCCCGAAGCCCCAGCAGGCAGAGGGTAACCACACTGCTCCAACACTTGATCCACTAGCATGCTCTCATCGCTGCTTTCTTCTGAAGTGTCCTCAGAGGATCTTGCCTTTGCATGCATTTCTTTTTCTAGCTTCTTCTTCTCCTTCCTCAGGGCGTCCAGAGCATCACAGATGACCATTTCAGCATAGGCTTTTAAATCTGCATGGAAATGCTGAGCTTTGGAAATGGCATCTTGGATACTGCGCCTTGCAAGTCTACTACTCTCTCGGGATAGAGCAGAGGCACTTTGCAAAGGCTGCAGCAGGGGCAGTCTCCGGGCTTCTGATGTCCAATATTCAGATTCGCTAGGTGCTGCTTTCCCTTCTTTTGTGACCCGTGTGGAGACATATGCCTCGGGTGACTGCGGTTGTCTCTTAGAAGCAGCATCAAGGGGCGGTTTCCATCTGTCAGCAAGTTTACACTGGAAATGTTCAAATTCAGAAGCTACAAAAGATTCCAAGGTGGCTCCAACATTTTCAACAACCTCTGTGGGTATTTGATCAAGAGAAGGCAGAGAAGATGTCCTGTCGCCTGCTGCCTCGGCTTGCTTTGCTCTGCTCTCTCCAGATTTGCCAGCTCGTGTGGAAATAGGCTGCTGCCTCTGCCTGGGCTCGGCGGCGTCCGACGGGCTGAATGCCCCTTGCTTCCCCAGGCGATCCAGAAGAGCTGCTGCCAGCTCTCTAGCCATCTCTCCGACTTCCTGCTGGAGATCTGGAGGTAATGTCTTGAAAGGTTCTGTTCTCTGCACGCTTGCAAACAAACTTCCACTGATAGTCAGTGGAGACCTCCTTAAAATATGGACTGAGTGCTCGGGGGCTTTCAGGGTCCCCAGCACTTCCTCAAGCATGCTCTCAGCCAGCTCGTCCAGCTCCTGGTCTTCTGTCAGCTCAGCACACGTCAGTGGGGTTTGTGGGACTTCGTGATGCTCTTCTGTTAAAGGCTTCTGTAACAGAAAACAGCAGGAACCAGTGAGTGAATTGTGAAGGAGGAGAGGAAATAGGTTGAAATAGGTTAAGTTATTGGAATAGACTCTGTGCCCTCTGCCATGGATGATACTTGCCCTCAGGACACTCTCTCTGCCTCTTATTTTGTGGCTCACTTGCACTTTTTCCAGGGTTGTTTTCAAGAAAGAAGGTTGAATTTTTAGATCAAGAGAAGAAAAGATAAGTCCTTGTTTCTGGAGCACTGAGCTGCTCTCATGCATTACTATGCCCCACTAAAGAGAACTGGGCAACAACAGGTTCTCCTCTAAGGTAGCTTTCAAGCTCCTGCAGGAGGAAACTAACACAGAGATGGTTGAGCACCCTCACTTGGGGCCTCCACGACACCCCATGTTTGGCTGCTCACCACAGGAGAAACCACAAAAAGAGAGGTGGGGACACCAGATTTGCGCTGAGCGTGCGAGTCGCAGGGCACAGGAGCCCGCTAAGACCAGGCGCACCTGGTCCTGGTCAGCCTGTGCAGGGAGGCGTTCGTCATCTTCAGGAGCCTCGGGCTCCTCCAAATGCTCCGCCGTCATGGTGAGATACCTGTGGAGGGAGACCCAGAGAGCTGAAGCAGAGGGCCTGGAACTGCCGTGCCCAGAACATCCAAGCACTGCTTGCATCACTCTACACACACCCACCATGTATGTGCTCGTGCAGCGCTTCGGTGGTGCTTCCTTGGACACAGGGCTTGCCAAAGGGCCACAGGGGCCCTTGGATACTCGTCCTGTCTCTTACCTGAGCCTCACGTCCTGCTCTGCAGCTTTCAGGCTCTCTCGTTGCTCCCACAGCAGCCACTCTCGCAGGTGGGAAATGTCCGTCCCGTGCGGCAGCTCAGGGACAGTCTTTAATTTGGCCAGTTGTTCTCGAAGCATTTTCTGCAAGGTGACACCGGAATTTAGCTCCTCTTTGCCACTGTAGCTGTGTGTGGAGGCTTCATGCTGGCCCAGAGCAGATCTCTGCTTCAGCAGCACCCAGGGGAGGAGAGAAGGGCTCCCTCAGGGGACACTTGGGGATGACTTTTCTGTTTCCAGCCCTGTTCCCTGCATAACTCAGCACGGACCCTTATACTCATTTCCCTGCCACAAAAGCTGTCCCACCTTCTGCCTTCCTGCTTCTCCAGGTGCCGCCTTGCCAGGAGAAAACAAGTGAAACTCCAGCCCCCTGCACCACCAAGCGTCCCCGTGAACCCTGAACTTCATTCACCTGTTCTCCATGGTACATTGTGTCAGCCGTTATCTTGAGTGTGGTCAGGTATTGCCTGTATTGGTTGAACTCCCGCAGGTTGCAAACGACCTGTGGTGAGAGGGTGGGAGAAATGAGCCAGTGCTTGCACCACGCTCCTCGCTGCACCGCCTGGCCACGCACCCGCTGCTCCGGCAGCGCCGCACGGCCTGGCACGAGCACATGGGAATGCCCGGAGCGAGCTGTGGGCTCCTGCTGCCCCAGGAAACCAGCAGAGCAGAGCTGCAGCCTCCACCTGTGAGCAGGGGCTGCAGCCAGCGCTCTGGCAACCTCCCCCTCCCGGGGAAACTCTTCTCAGCTGTGTGGACAACCTACTTTGTCATCCTTGGTGATGTAGCCTCCTCTCCTCAGCCGGCGGAGGTTGTCTTTGCGGTAGTAATAGTTTCGTAAGTGCGGGTCATGCAGACTCTTGTACTCGGAGCTCAGGAG